AGCGCCACATAGTGGGTCAGATGTTAACTACGATAAAGCTGGTCGTTGTTAAGCATTGGCTTCTTATGGGCGTTTCCTATCTTTATCTCCCTTATCTCTGATCTAGTGGATATCCACGATGGTTTGAGTCCGCGCCTAGACTTTGATATATTTAGTGGATGTCCATGGGATATTGAATACACCTTAAAAAAATTAATTTTAAATATCTGAATGGTACTATTAGCCACAATGGCGTAATTTTTTAATAATTTGCTATATAATTACTATTATTTATGGACATTTGCATGTCTATAAATTACATATCATGGATATAAAATAGATATCCACTATGGACTGGACATTCAGTGGATATTGGGATGTGCAGTAGATATCCAAAGGATTTGGTGTGCTGTCTGGGTATTTTCGCGATGATGTATGTGTTTCTGTATACCTACTCGATAACTCATGAAAGGCTAAAGGGAAAAACACTAAATTTAAAACTTACGCTTTAATCCATAGATAAATTAATATTAATTTATCTATGCTTTAATCCATCCTGCGGTGAGCCAATTAGATTGCATAGTCGGAAAATCTGGGGGGTACTTTATTGGGGGCCGTTTTTATACTGTATAGAATATATCTGTTATTCACGCTTGGATAAGAAAATTCTTTAAATAGAAATTGTTTGTAATAATATTCTCTATAATTTTTGTCATATACATAATTTTCCTACAATTGTTCGTATGTAAAATTAGAATTTTTAAGAAAGTTGTTTGTGATGTCATTTTCTTAATTCCTTGTCCTATACATAATTTCTCTAAAATGGACCGTATTCGAGATATTTGAGAAAAAGTGCAAATTTCTAATTTTGAAGATTACTTAAAAATGGATAAAGAGAAAAACACCAAATTTTAAATTTAAGCTTTAATCCATCCTGCGGTGAACTCATTAAATATTGGGCATAGTCGGAACATCTGAGGGGGTACTTTATAGGGGGTTGTTTTTCTACTTTATGGAATATGTTATTTACGCTTGAAGATGAACATTCTTCAATAAAAAGTTGCTTATAATGTTATTCTCTATAATTCTTGTTCTATACAGAATTTTCATAAATTCGTCCGTATTCGATAAATTTGATAAAAAGTGCAAAATTCGAACTTTTAAGAAAATTGCTCAAGTAAAAGTTGCGATATCATTCTCTATAATTTTTTTCTATAAAGCAGGGACAGAAGTTGAAAATGATTTTTCCAGTTCTCCCAATTCATACGCAGAATTTGACAGTTTTGCTGCGGAGCTAACCGAAGTGAACCCGAAATATTTGCGTAAATAATTCAATAAATTGTGAATAGCTCTTGACATTTTGTAGAATTATGATTTGGGATAATATTACTTGTTTAAATAATTTTATATTCCATAAATAGAAATTCCGCCGGTAATAATTTAAAATGTTTGGTATTATTTTTATTTTATGATACAGCAGCAATAGCCAACAAACATTACCGCGAAATTCTCGAAGTTCTCCGACGGGGTTTGACGTTTACCACCTCTCTACCCTCCAAACATCTTTCCAACTTCTGTTCCTGCTATACATAATTTCTCTAATATTAATCGTAATGGAAAAAATTGAGAAATTTAAATTTTTTAGTATTTTCATTGGCAATGTCGAATTTTTATTTCAAAATTTGTATTTAGACTACGTTAGTTTGTAAACAACTTTGTTATATAAAATTTTTGTAAAGAATAATAAATAATGGTACTTATCCGTACTCTACCTCCACTTTACCCTATTTTATCTCACTCTACCCCACTTTACCTTAACTCTACCCCACTCTACCCCCACTTCACCACATTCAACTTTCCCCCTCACTGTACCCCAATCCACCACACTCTATGTCCACTCTACCGCCTTGTATCTTACAAACAGAAAAATCGTATGTATTCTTTTATCTTCTTTTATTTTCGTGACGTTACCATGGTTACATACGTTACACCTTACATGTCCTTGAAATTCTACTCTCCATTCTCGCTAAATATCGGACCACTGCCTACTCGTCAAATATCAAACCGCGGCCCAAGAAGTTTTATTTCAAAAATGTTTCGAGTAAGATGTGTGTCTGTGTGGAAAATGTATGTATTTAGTTCATCCTATAAACATTTACAGGGGTAATACAATAGGATGTACAAAATAACCGGAAAAGCCTGTAATAACTAGACATGAAGGTCATGTGTTAAACACATCATATTTTTTGTTTTACGGGACTTATAAATAAATAAATTCAACCCCTAATGAACTGTATAGATTGGATCGAAAATGAGATTGAGAAAAATAATTCCCATCATTTTATTGATTTATGAACTTATAGGTACAAAACATGGTTCTTATTTTGCTACATACTGGGTGTACGGGAGGATTTTTTGGAATAACTTTTAGTTAAATGAATTTTTGATAATAGGTACATTTAAAAAAAATCCCTTATTAGTTTTTATGGTCTTTAAGCTTCTGCTTTTGCAGTCCAACGGGTCTTAGAGTTCATTTAATGAACTGGCTATTTTACTGTCCCAAAAGAATCGCATAAGACTTGTAAAACTTCTATAAATTTTTTTGCAAAAACACAAAAATGCGACAATTGGTAGTTTTAAATTGCTTTTTTTTATTTTAAATTGTATCTTGTTTTATTTCTAGGAGGTGTAACGATCACATATATTTTTTTAAATGGACTTTTCTAAATTCAAATCTATTACGTTGTGTTTTAAACTTTTAATATTCCTTATTTTCCTTATAAAAAAACCCAAATAAATGCATCAATATGAGTTTTTTTATTAATTTCAATCGCTTAAGATTTTGTTATTTTGTAATTTTTTCAGCGATTTTTACATGTGAATCATAATCTCTAAGTTTGGCAACCTTAAGTACATTTTGTTAACCGTTTTTCAATAAAAAAAAACATTTTGTTTGTTCAAATTTCGCAAGCCGAGACAGAGACCGACTTCAAAACGCGCCAGCAAGAGAGACCAAAAACACATGTAATTATATGAAACACATTTCGCACGGCGCGACACTTCCGAGAGACAGATCTCGACGACACTTTGGATCGGTCTTCGGGCAAAGCGTTAGCTGCGTGTCGCACTCGAGGTCACTGTCCTCAGACATCGCTTGTATTTAGAGGTGATTAGTCGATATTTTATATAATTGGTAGTTAGAAACTTCTTTCGATCTAGGCAGTGTTGCCAGATGCTAGAACAGTATGGGTGAAAAAAAAATGCGTAGATCTGAACAGTAGATTTTAATGCAGGGGGAAATAATTATAATTTGCAGTGTAGTAAATAAAAAAAAACAAGTATATAAGAAACGAAAAATAAACATTTTTCTACCCAAATTAGAAAGTAAACAAAGAATTAAAACAAATAATAACATTTTTAATATATACTTAACGTCAGGAAACAAAAAAAAACTAATGAAAAATAATAGGTATTTCTTTCAGATCAGTCTGAATCAAATAATTTAAATACGTTGTGATTGGCATGCATGTTCTTTTTATGTTGCCCTATTAATTCTTTGTTGCATTTTAAATAAAAATACAATAGTGGCAACTTATTACGCTGCTTTTACTACAGAAAATTTACTAGAGAAAATATTCTTTAACCATTTGCTGAAGAATGAGGCATATTTAATAAATTAGGAACAACATTTGCTAGAGACAAAAACAGGATCTACTTAAAAACCGTAGGTCTGGCAAAACTGATCGTTCCCTCAAATGGTTGTCTGCAGGTGTCGTGCTACCTGTCTCCTTGCTTTCCAAATGTGGGAAGCGTAACATTAATGCATCTGTCGTCCTTGGGGTCGCCTCTGTGGTACCTAGAGTTTTCTATTTTCGCTTATGAAAATGGCCACATTTAATCTTTGTTCAGTTGAATAACCTCTACCATCTAATAGGTACATTTTGTTGAATATTACGCGGTCACTCTACTTGAAAGGTTATGATACCATAGGCGTAGACATATGTGGGGAATTGGGTTTTATATAGGAAATTAGGAAATAGGATTTGTTATCACTGTAAAATCATTCAGCACCGTTTGTTTCAATAATAGTTTCTTATTTGTATCTGATTAGGTTTCCCAGTGAAATATTCTTCCTAGAATTTGGCAGCAGAATTTATGTTAATACCTATGTTTATAATAATTATTTACTTTTCTATTAAAACCAAATTGTTAAAATATTGATTAAGCATAATTTATCGATTATTAATTGTGTCACGTTCAATTAAATATAATTATTAAAAATATGTCATATAAAATACATACATTTACAATCCCAAAATAAAAATTAATATTATTAATCTTTCTAAATTTAAATATTGGAATATTGGAGGTATACATTTCCAAATAAAAACACAAGCATTTAGCAATTACAACTACCTGCATTAATTGGGTCGAAATAAGAAATTTCTCAATCGGTTAGATATTTTATGTGTATAAAATCGTCGCTGATTGCTGTTATAAAACAGTTGTCTACACCTTTGTACAGACAATTTTAAAAGAAGGCGATGTGACGTGCCATCCAAGGAGAAGTTTCGAGTTTGAATTTATTCTATCGAATATTCTTGGTACTCGGATTAGAGCATGACCGGACTGGTTGACAATATTATTATAAATGAACCCTCTCGAAAGAGTACATCAATGTTTATTGTACCCTACCCCTTTCCCGGAAAAATATTGTATTGTTTAGACAGTGTGAAGGCAGGTCTATCTTAGATAATATTATTGTTTATGGTGTATGCCGTTTGCGTTCTTCTCTCTAGTCTTCATACAGGTATGGAAATCTGAACGCGGAAACAGACAAAGACGACACATCTGCGCATTACCTATTCAGTGACCTCGCGCACGATACGTAACATTTCCTTCTCAGTCTTACTTACGCTCGTCCTTAATAGATTTGGCTTGTATTGTCCGCATTTCAATTTCCGAATCTGTATATATTCAGCGTAATATTTGGTTACTTTAAAATTTGTAATTTGTTTCAGATGTTCTTGTGTATACCGTCGCGACCGAACAAACCAACGGCTTCGATAGATATTTAGACTCGGCCAGCGAATTCAACATCCAACCAAAAGTCCTTGGTTACGGGCTAGAATGGAAAGGCGGTCAAGTAAAGAGCCATCCAGGAGGTGGATGGAAACTAAAACTCCTCAAAAAAGCCCTAGAACCTCTAGCAGAAGAAAGCAATAAACTGGTGCTATTCACCGACGCTTACGACGTCATATTTTTAGGAAAACTTGACGAGATAGTCAGAAGATTCCAAAAGACCGGTGCTCGAATTTTATTCGGCGCCGAGCCGTATTGTTGGCCCGATGCCACTTTGGAGAATAAATATCCAGAAGTTGCGGAAGGAAAACGATTTTTAAATTCCGGAATGTTCATCGGTTACATCCCGGACGTTTGGAAACTTTTAACTAGGAAGGAATTCGACGATACCGACGACGATCAGCTGTTCTGTACTGAAGCGTATCTGGACGAGAAGTTTAGAGAAGAGGTGCAAATGAAACTCGATCACAAAAATGAGATTTTCCAGAATTTGAACGGTGTTGCAAGTACGTATATTTTATTCGTTTATAAATATTCGCGTTCGTCAACCACCCACGGGTTAAACTGTGCTAAGTACAGATCCATAATGTAAATAACAAAGTGTAGTAGATGCGCACTGGCTGCTAATCAGACTAATCTTCCCCAATGGCCGCGAATAATTTAAATCATTGAGGTTTGTAAACTCCTGTCCCGTAGACGCTTCATTTTTTATTTAAAGCAGGACTTTAATTAATTCCCTAGTAGTGATCGTCTAGTCTAATAAGATTATTTTATTACCTACATTGGGTTTAATAAATTTATCAAGCAATCTAGGATTGGTTCAAATTTGTGAATGGAATAATACTCAAAATATTTGTCTTAATTTATTTTTTCTCAACTAGCATATATATATTTTCAAAAATTGGGGCATGAGAAATTATATTTTTAACCAGAACCTCACATTTGCCCTGCTCAAATAAAGAAAGCACAGGCCATTTGCCATCAAATATATTCAATAATTCTTGTTTTGGTGTTTCTTTTTTATATAGGTGGCATTACTTAGATGCAGCCATTGCAATAAGAGACGTATTCAGGCACATCTAGGGGGTTTATATAGTGTAATATTACTAAAATAGTGCCAGATCAATACCAGCTAACTACTTCTTATGGTCAGAATTATCTACGGTGCAATGTTTGAGAGTTAATTAGTTAAGACAGTCCAACCCTGCAGTAACATCAATCATATCTGTTTAAAAAGTGTGAAGATAGCCGACCGAACTGTCATTCGGCATAATCAGAGATATTACATATTATATTAGCCAGTGAGGGTGTATCGACTTTTCGATAAACCAGATTGTTAAATATTTTAGGGTGTCCATTTGGCACCACCCAAATGTGACGATATTGACTAATGAATATAATATAATGAAAATATTATAATAGGTTATTGACTCACCATCGGTCTAACCGTTGCGTTGGACGTATATTGGGTCCTATGATTGAACGTTTACGTTATCCGTAACGTACATGTTAGGCCGAATTTTAAAAGTAACGAGGCAAGTTCGGATGATGGAAAACTGTTAAATTAGAAGATAACAGGCGGAAAATAACAGTAACGTGTTGGAAAAAGTTTTCCATCATACGAACTTGCCTCATTACTGTTAAAACTCGGCCTAACATGTACGTTACGGATAACATAAACGTTCAATCATAGGACCCATTGTCTGTTTCTATTTTAAACATTTTTAATGTTTGATACGTGAAAGCATTGTTTTCTTGGAAACACTGGGGCTTTCGGGAGATGGAGATTCAAAAGTTATATTTTTGTTTTCATTTATTAGACATGATAAATAATATTTAAAATGTTTGTTAGAATGGAGGAATAAAATAAATAAATTTTGAAACTATAGGTCACAGGTTAAATGTTAAATTCGTTAGTTTGTGATAATATATTACTAACTACATTCTTGACATCAAAATAATAATATCATTTATATTAAACATTTATTTAAATTTAACTAACAATAAATTAAATCTTTAAATTCAATAACAAATTTTGATCTCCGTTAACCTCCAATCACTCGAATCACACTCGGAGAAACATGTTCCACACTGAGGTGAACGCACCTCCTTCTGTTGACATTTGACAAGTCAAAGCCTTCAAGTGTCGCTTGTCACCACTGTCATGTGGAAACGGTTAAACAACTTGAACCAAAATGAAGAGAGAAATTTAAATTTGAAAATATTAATATTAATAAAATTATGATTTAGCAAGTTGTAAATATCCCGAAATATATAATTTTGGGAGTGAGGATGACCAGGAACTTGTTGGATACGTTGTGGACAGTAGGTAGATTTTTTCATAATTATAATGTATATAAAATATATAAAAAAATCTTCAGTTTTTTTTTACTTTGGCCTTCTGCGTTTTACTTTCTTCATATCAAATATTGTATTCTAGATTCAAATTTCAATATATCTTCCACAGTCACCCTCTAATTGTAAATTTCTTTAAATTTTAACTAATTTGTTAACCTTTTTTCAATTTTGTGAATAGTGAGGGTGGCATGATTCCTTAATTCCACACAAGCTAACTTGCTTATGGAGATCAGATTTGATTTGTAAGGGCTTATCCCACACTCACTATTCCCAATACCAGTTTTTTGTCACTTTGTTTGTTTCTTGTAATTTTTAATTTGTTCAAACAATTGTATATGTACTATTTTAACTTTTGACTTAAAAGTCTAATTCAGATTTTATAATATATTTTTTAAAATCTTTTTAAATTGTAAGTTTACATCCACAATTTTTGTAGATGAGCACTGATGATGGCAAATAAGCCGAAAGCGCTTTGCATTGATTAATAAAAAAGTTTTGCACGAAATACAAGTTTTTCCTTTTGAATCTAAACTACGTGCACACAGCTGTCAACCTTTTTTGTTTATTTTAATATTACTAACTAGGCTAACGGCCGTAGTAGTCGACGCCGATGACACCAAATTAAAAAAATATATATTACTAATTACTATATAATTTCGTACTTTGTACATTTATTGACTAAAAGTTTAAAAAAATTGGTTCATGTCATATTTCTTCATTTTAATGGCTTCCGTCTATTTAGTTCTGTAAAATATCTTCAAAACATTAAAAGTTTTTATAAATTAAGGCAACAGCGGCGCAAACTCCAGAATTCGTAGTGTAACCTGACAAACCGGATCCTAACTTAGTTTTTCAAATATTCAAAACCTTGGAATAAAATACGTCTAGTAGATTCTCATGAAGTGATTTTTGTAGGACCCCAAAATTACGTATAGAGTTCAATGTAGCTGTAAAGGAGAAAGAAAAAAAGGAAACACAAAGGTAGATTAAGAATAGTTTTATTTAAACTTATTTCTTATAGCGGGAAATTTACATTAATGTTTGTTTTGTTTAACATAACACGTGTATGTCCTTTTCCATGTCGCATTTCTAAGCGGAGGGATATTAAGCTTCCTTGAACGGGCTAAAATATGATGACAGTGTACTACGACATCTCCTTATATTTTGCAATCATACACACTGCTAATAGAATACCTGAATACGTATTGTCTGATATAGTGAAGTACAGCGGTATCACGAAGTGTATGACGAGATATGAATATACGAGGGCTGTTTCTTTTTAACCTCCGATCGCATAGTATGAAGGCCATGCGAGCGACAGGTCGCAGGCGTCAGTAGAGGGTGACTGCGCTTCTTCTCTCCCATACACTCTGTTACAACCGAGTCTAACACACCATTTCTTGTTGAGCTGCAGTCACGTAAACATGGATGTCTCTATTGATTCTTCCGCCAAGTGTGAATTACGAAGTGTTATTCGTTTCTTGAGAAGTTTATATAGACTGGGACAACGTGATTCTTAGTGTGAGACTTTGCGACGCTTACGGAGAGCTATTCAAAACAAAAAAGAGGCATGCTGACTTCTGGAATTGTTCTGATACATAACAATGCCCGTCTTTATATTTCTCGTGTAACCCAACGGATCCTTGAGCAATTTCAATGGGACCTCTTTGTACAGCCACCTAGCGCCGAGTGACTGAAGAAGTGGCTTGGAGCAAAGCGCTTCCAAACTGACGAGGAGCTCAAAGAAACCATCACAACTCACTTCAAGTCACTGGCGGCAACAATTTTTTAAGAGGGTATTGCAAAGCTTGTGCACAGATATGACAAATGCCTTAATCGTCAAGGTGATTATGTAGGGAAGTAACCTTTAATGTACCTTACTATCGGAGATTGAAAAAAAAAACAGCCCTCGTAGTTATAAATATGTAAATGAAAAGTTTAAACTCATCTTGCCTTTCCATTAGTATATCCCAATACCTTACTTTACGGTTGTGTTCCGCACTACATGGATAACAATAATGGAACGATGTGAAACAAATACAAATATATATTTTATGTGGTAGTCTCCATGTCAGATCTATTTAATAATCGATGTACTTAGAAATTACAGAAATTGATAGAAAATCTCTACTGTGATTGTCTTAGACAAATAAATTTCTCAAATATTTCTTAATCGTAGGTTTTCTTAGATTTGGAAAACACCAAATAAAATATCGATGGCCTAGAAGCAATAACACGTAAGTACATCTTCCAAAATTTGTGGGTATGAAGAAAAACCGTTAAAATATTATTGTATAAATATATTATTTATTAATCAACTGTTTCAAAAAGTTACATACAATATTATGTATGGCATTTTTACTGTCTTGGTCCTTGAATCCTTTTTTCAATTTTTTTTTAAAGCACTTACATGTTATTGCTTTTATTTACAGATTTTGTACTTACAAGGTATTGCTTCTAGGCAATCGATATATGAAATATTTATGCGAGATAATTAGAAAAATGTGTAGAATGAAATCTCCTACTAAACTACGAATTACAATTTTTGTAAAGGAGGCGAATGAACTAATCATTTTATTAAAAAAAAAAAAACATTGTTAATTAGTTAAAAAGTAAAACGTCTATCTTGCTTGTTAAAATAAAAAACTTGTACCAAATTTTAATAAGCTCATTGTTGTAATATTTTTTAAAATAACCCTTGACTAGTACCAATGTTTTTTTAAAAATGCAATGTTTAGTTCGTTCGGTTCCTTTACAAAAGTTGTAATTCGTAGTTTTTCCCTAGTGGATAAGAGATTATGGCATGCCAGAAGATGAAGTGATTCACTTCGAAATCGGTCGCAATATAAAAATACAAATCTTTGTGAGATACAAAGGACCTTGTTTCTTTTTCTACCTTTAATTTGTATAATTATTTTATTTTTATTTACTAATTAGTGTATTAATCTAATTAAAATACATTACATTGTATTCACGTATTATTTAAATCTCGCGGGGCTATTAGGAGACAATTTTTCATTTGGTCTGAATTTTCTAGATGTGCAATAATACACTTGTTATTTACATCATGTACTAAGCGACAGTAATAAGCAAAAGTTGCGACATGCGCTAACTTAAGGGTGCACATGCACTCAGAACGCGATTTTTTACTGCACTTATATTTGGCAACGTCTAAAAATGTACAACTTCAAGTATAATGTATTAAGATCTAAGTGATCACCTCGAAAAACCGAAACGAATTGATTCACTACGCATATGACCTTGGCGGCTTTAGTTATACATATATGTCGTACTGTTTTCTTATCCCATCATTCTTTAAAAAGTACGATGATGGTGAATAAAAACATAACCTATTCATTACAGCTGAGATCGAGATTTCATCGATAGAAGACAAAGAAGGGGAGGGAGAAAGGTATTTCATTAAAAATATAGCCAGTCGTACTGAACCCCTAGTTATACATGGCAACGGTGCTTCGAAATACACTTTGAATTATCTCAGCAATTACGTTCCTAATGTTTGGAACTCCATAGAAGGATGTCGTCAATGTAAGAAAGGCCATATAGAATTAGAAACGGTGCCTCCTAAAGACGTGCCTGTCGTTTTGCTGTCTCTGTTTATCGAACAGAACACTCCGTTTGTGGAAGAGTGGTTAGAGAAGATCCATATGCTCGAGTATCCCAAAGACAAGATCCATTTATTCATCCATAATACTGTAAGTCATATTTTTATGTTCATTTCTATAACTACAAACCAAATAACCGACAAATTGATAATTTATATTATACAAAAATGTTAATAAATTTTCTTTTTTTTTTTTAAGATGAAGTTCCACGTCGACCACGTTAATAACTTTACTGAAAAGTACGCCAAAAATTACGTAAGCGTAAAAGAAATTGTACCTGAGGACGCTACACCCGAATGGACTGCTCGAGATTTGTCACTGTAAGTATTTTTGAATATTTTTTCTCAATTTTCTTCCAAAATTTACACAAATTATTGCCAGAAACTATTATGATATCTTACAAAATCAAATTATGATATCGTACGATAAATTTGACCGTTCTTCTGATTTGTTCAGACTTATGCCCTAGTAACTTCAAATACTTTCGACGGACACTGTATATGTATTTTTTTTTTTTTTTTTCAGAGATCACTGTCTCGCTAAAAAGTGCGACATATATTTCGCCGTGGATTCCGTTGCCCATATCGACAATCCCTACACGTTAAAATTATTGATCGAACAAAACAGGACCGTCGTCGCCCCGTTGTTGACCAGGCCGGGTAAAGCTTGGAGTAACTTTTGGGGCGCCCTTACTAAAGATGGCTTCTATTCTAGATCTAATGACTACATGGACATCGTGCATAGTGTTAAAAGGTAAGTGCTAATTATTTCAGCTATGAATAGTTTTGTAAACATATTATTGTTATTTACTTTTAAAATATAATTCGGTTCTTGTATCGTAACTTTTTTTACATAATCTGTTTTTAGCCATGTCGGATCAATATATATTTTTTTCAAGTTAGGTAATTTCAGCTGGGTCTCTTTTAAAATATTATGTCAAACGTCAAAAACAAGCGTTTGAATTAGCCAAAGGTTGTAACGGGACAGAAGCAAGTCTTTTAGGGTGCTTCTAAATGACTTTTAAGTCTGTTTAACTGTCACTAATCGAACTAAACCAAACGCTAAAAGGGTCGCTTTGAGTTAAAGAAATGAATGGGACCTTATATGTCCGAACTTACCTTATTTATACATGACAATTGACGTAAAACTGATTGATCACTACTGTATGTCATCTGACATCTTTCGTTAGTTTCCTGTTTATTCGGTTTTGCAATAAATATAAGTAAATTGTACCAATATTTTTATGTTCTATGATTAAGTAAGATTTGCTTTATATATACTCGTTATTCATAGTTTTTATTAAAAAAGTTCAAAGACAACTTGAAAAATTGTTGAGCTTAAATAGGTTTTAACACGTCGGTGTCAGATTCTATTTTTGACACTAAAACTGGTAAGAACGAGCTGCTCAAAGCTGTTACTATGGGAATCTTATTCGTCTAACATTTATAATGGCCGCTGTCAAATGATGTAATCACAATTTAAAATAATGTACGCCCTTTCTCTCATTAACTTTAAACAATCTTATGAGGGGAGCGAAATAGATCATTTCTTTCAAACTTAGTCTTAAAATATCTAAATGTTAGATTATGATAAAACTCTCGTTAAATAATGATAGAGTAACAAAGCCAATGTGTCGTGATCTCTTTTATGTTGTCTTGTTATTTTAAGGTTTAATCGTTTCTACAATAAATATAAGTAAATTTGTTGTGACAATATTTTTATATTCTATGATTATGTAAGATTTGCTTTACGACTGTTTGTTATTCATATTTTTATTGAAAAGGTCCAAAGACCAAACTTGATAATGTTGAACCTAAATAGGTTTTGACCCGCCGGTGTCTGATTTTATTTTCAATACTAAAACAGTGATAAGAACGTGAATTCCAAAGCTGTTACAATGGTAGTTTTATTGGTCCAACGTTTATAATGGTCGTTATCGAATGATGTAATACCAACTTTAAAATAATTGAATACCTGTCCCGAACTGAATTGTAAATAAAAACGTTTCCGAAACGGTGCTAACTATGGAACAAGGTTTTAAGCAGCACTATAGTGCAATCCGTACCGCAAACTGCCTTAAAAACCATATTACAAAAATTGCCTCGGCCAGAAAAATGTTGTAACACCAAGAGCTTTGTTGTTCTTAAAATTTTTCCCATAACATTTATTTTTTGATGGTTACAACATTGTTCGGGGAAGGTATTCAATTTACGCCCTTTCTCTCTTTTACTTTAAACAATCTTATGAATCGAACTATATCAAGAATTTTCCAACTAAAATAATTTACGAATGTACTTTTTCTAGTAAGTAGAACGTTTAAAGTTTTATTTAAACACCTATCGTGGGGCTATATGTCTATTTAAGAATCATGTTCTTGTGAGTTAACTATGTGCATTCGAAAGAGATAAATAGATATACCTATTGACTCATTAGGCATACATAATTGAAATGATTCTTTTATTATCGAAATGAACCGAGAAAGTATTCGCTAGTTTAGATAAAACAATAATCTAATAAATTATTTTATCCAACCATAAACAAATTTTCACCACAACCCACGGAGCATCCCAAAAATTACAATAGTAACACAGATTTGAACAATAGTTCAATTGACGCGTTTTTGTAGGATTCAAATTTGTATTATGATCGTCAAATATATTTAACAGGTTAACCAGTTAACCAGTACTATCAAACCTATTGAAACATTCTTTTAAAATAAAATTTAATGGATTTATTTTATTTTTGTCACATTTAAGCTATATATCACTTTGAGCAATCTATATAACTATAATATCATTGATCCTGACAAAGCTCACATCATGGAGGTATAATACTAATGGAGATGCCATGAGGCAATTGTTTTGCATATGATACGTTTTATTAAAAATGACCCCACTGGGCGTGGCTTAAATGGTTGACTAAGCAGGGTCGTATTCAAATATAATTAAAGTCCCTATGCAGAATTACAACTTTTAAATGACTTACTTACCTAAGATTTGTTTCAACATGATCGATTCGAAATTAATTTGATGACATTGCGCAATTATGACTTCTACACTATTTACTATTATTTATTAACCGTTTTCCGACCAAACCAATGCCAAGACCATAAAAGAGATTACTATTATTATATTGTTCTGTCTTCGCCGAAACCGTCTGATATATGACCGGTGTGATCGAAAATCAACGTTCGAATAACACTGTGCATCAGATTTGTTAATCTCTTTGTGCTTTAAAAAGAAAACCCGAACTACGATTTTTCGTTCAAGGACTCTCTTGTCTTGATCAAAGCTGCCAATGTCAAAATCTGACAATGAGGAGAATTATGACATCAAATTACCAAACCAAAAACCAAACCACTACGTGAATTGTGAATAAATATATTTCAGTAAAAATACAGCCGAGTTTGTAGAAAGGACAATTAATTACTTTTAAATGTAAAACATGTAGGTCTTTCTGCTGCAGATGACATACATTAAAAATATGACCCGCTACAGTCAAAAGTTTAAAAAGACCAAAAATTCAGCTAGGTATGACTTTATGGTTAAAAGTAGATGGAAGAAAACCATGATCAAAACTACTCTGTCAAAACCAATCGGAACTAAAAAGACTCAGATAATAGTTGTTGGTTTTATTTATGTTTGAAATAATTAATTATATAGGGTGTTTTTAATCCTAATAAAGCATTGTGAATTTGCAAGAAAAGTGCATGATGAAAATTGTTTTGACCAAAATTTTGAATGTCATGCCATTTAAAAAGAAACCCTGTGGCTGTGGATAACATTTGACACAAAATCTTATCCTAAAAATAACTGTTTGGTTGCATTGGAGGAATAATTTCTTCATTGGTACTTTTTTAGGGTGCAAGGATTACTTGACATTACTAAATTTAAACCTTTGTTATAAGTTGTCTTTTTGCTTTAATTTCTGATACACCTGTATTGTACATACTTGAAAAATATAAAATTGTTCAAGTGGGAAGTTTATATACAAGGTGTCTCATTGAGAAAGGGATACAGAACAACTGAAGAGTCTTATTAAAAATAAGACTATGCTTAGAATGCGAATATTCTTCATTTTAATTTTGAAGTTTCTTATAAGTTCCCAACAAAAGTACCTATATGATTTACTTAAAAAAACATCAAAAAATATATAATTATAGTTCAAATAAGTGTAACGTATCTTATGACACCAAAAACTTTTGCCAAATTTGGTAAAATTATAGGTAACTCTTCAGTTTTTCTGTGTCCCATTCTTAATAAGTCACTACAAAAAATTTTTTATTATTTAAAAAAATATTTATTGACCTTTAAACCTTTTTATTGTAAATAAAGTGTATACTAACTAAACATTCATTTATTGTCGGAACAGCATTCTTCTTCAATCTGACCCTAAACTCACTCTTATCAAAAAATTCTTCCTTGAAGTGAATAGAGCACAACATGCTATTCTGTTTAGGCTCAAATTGGTCTTTTCCCACAAATTTAGACCAAATTTTGAGATATTGTGGGTCTTTTGGAAACCTATAATAAAAAAAGTGAAGCATTCTAAAAAAAATTCTAAGTATACTCCTTATACTTACTTATGAAAACTTAAATTAGATATTTTCTTACGCTCTTTCACTGAAGAGTTTTTAAAATTAATTTTGGCACACTTAGTCATGATTTTTATACAAATTAATAAAAAAAAACACTTATTAAGATAGAAATAACGTCGAAATATTTAAATTTGAACAAAGTTCTAACAGCTCTTTGACAACTATGACATGACCACTAAGAAAGGGGTTTTTTTTTGGCATGTCATCTCCATAGTATTCAACCTTATTGGCGCACATTCAGCAATTTTGACAGGGCGTTGAAATGCCTAATAAGGGCTCGCCATTCTAACCAATCATTAAGTTTTACATTGATTAAACTGCTTCTTAGTTTTTTTTTGATAAAACCTATTGAACTGACAACTATAAACACAATCTAACAATTTTTATATAAAATTGTTGTTAATTTTACTGCACAAAATTAAAATCGGTAATATTAAACACATTTCTAAAAAAAAGATGAAAAAAAAAAAGAAAAAAAGATCCTCAAACCAGGTCCTTTTGTGGCGAACTACCTCATAGTACTGCTTCTATTATTTTCTTCGCGGATTCCCCACAAAGGCTTTGCGGAGCACACTTTGAGAAACACTGACCTAGACAGTTCTAAATTAAACCGTTCTTATTCCATTTTATATTTTAAGACACGGAAATTTCAATAAAAAATTAAAAATTTGGCAAATGTCGAAACTCGTGAAAGGAAAGGTATCCTACCTACTTTATGTCCGTGTCACAACAAAATTAACCATCTTTAATGCATACGAATGAAGGTAACACGTCAAACAGACTTCATTAGTGACTGATGTCGAAATTGTCTAATGATTGCTGATGAGTCCGACGAAATAAGTCCAAGTATGACTTTATACTTAGGAAGCAAAATCAAATCTAGAGTGTAGAAAATGATTTTCTATATCTGCTCTTTTCCTCTTGATAATGCAATGCCTGTTGCGGTAGTAGCCAAGGGACTAGTTGTTTTCAGGAGCGAAACGCTTACCTTTGCTGTGACACGAACTTACAGATTTTCTCTTTTTCTTTGATATTCAAATATTTATTTGTTTAAAAAACATTTCCAAATATGTTTATTGGTCTTTTTCATGTAAAATGAGTCAAAAAATAATATTTTCAAATACCTCTCGTCCTTTTAAATTGTATCTATTAAATTTTAAGGACCTTTGATTATTTTTTCATTCTACCGGGTGTTCAAATTAAAGTGTTACAGCTATATACCGCCTTTTATAAAAAAAAAACGTTTCAGACAAAAATTGTATAGTTTTGTGGAGAAAAAATTTTGGCTAAAATCGTTTTTTATAGCTAACCATAATATGGCCAACTTTTTTTTCGCCTAGCAAAATTTTCAAGTAGCTGTTACTCAAAAAGTAAAAGTCCAATAAAAAAAATATTTCCCTAAAAAGTTTCTTATTTTTTTCTGTACTTTAAGAATATGTAGAAATAAAATAGGGTTCCAATTTAAAAAAACAAAGTCCACCTCGATGTGGCCATATTATGGTCAGCTATAAAAAAATTAATTTATCCAAAATGTTTCCCCCAAAAAACTATAAAACTTTTGACTAAAACGTTTTTTTCTAAAATGAATATTTTCGGCGGTATTTAACTGTAACACTTTAATTTGAACACCCGGTATAGTGCAATTATAAAATTTAAACTGGCCACCGTCCGTAGACTTGGCAATCTTGTTATAGAAACAGTACACTCGAACAGTCCCTCTATGTATACTGTTTTCAAGATTTGCTTTGTTACAAAACCGCTGGCGCAATTGTGCCCTTAAGTAAGATTTGGTTTACGAATACTTGTTATTCAAACTTTTTATTGAAAAAGTAAGATTGAACTTGAAAAATTGTTGAACCTAAATAGATTTTGATACGTCGGTGTTTGATTCGAAAGTAATCTTTTTAGCACTAAAACAGAGGTAAGAGCAAGAAGTCAAACGCTATTACTATCCTAATCTTATTGATCAAACTTGTATAATGGCCGCTTTCGTTGTTACTAAATTTAAAATAATTTACTACGCTATTTCTCTCTTTTACTTTAAACAATCTTATGAGTGGAGCGAGATCGAGAATTTGAAATCTTCAATAAGATCTCAATTACTTTCAAACTTAGTTTTAAAATAACTGATTGTTAAAGTGGTAACATGATCTTTTTTATGAACACCTGTGCCAAAAGTGTAACGTCTCATATTAATTTCCAGTTTCTTAGTTTTAAATTTTTTGTTTAATGAACTTATGCTACTACATTTACAATTTTATTTTAACACCTAACGTGGTTATTATTAAGAAAAGACAATAGTTATCTAAAGAAACAATAAAAATTTGTTTTTATTAATAATTTATAATATAAATAGGAATTTTTAGTCAAATGCAATGCTGAAATCAGTTTTGAAGGACCTTCGATCTATCGAATACATATTATCTGCGGTACACTCGTATACTCCGGCGTCCATTTGAGTCGCGGGATCAATTTCGAGTTTGCTCTTTATTTTGTCTCTTCCCATTTGCCATTCGTGTATCTGAAAAATTAAATAATATTACCCATACTGTTTAAATAAAAATAAATGTCTGGAATTGAGCATGTGTGCCGCCTTGATAGTCGAGATGTCAGGCTACTAGCACGAAAAAAACAAATATGAGTGGTTCGATTCCAGCTCGGGACATTTATGGACTTTTTCATTGGTTTATTTTCATATCGGGAGTTTGGGGATAAATGTCATAATTTCGTAGGCGGGATTGCAATAAGAGTGGATATGGACAATCCACTCGAGCTGTACAGTATATTTTTTTTTCAGGTTATGAATATAAAATAAACTTTAAAAATATTTTATTATTAGTCTTCAATCCTAGATTTGAAACTGGGACCTTTTGCATGGCAATTTAGTACGCTATCCACAGCTCCATCGACACACCTAACTTTTTAGTTTTAATGTACTCACAATCAGAGCTGGGGTGTACTCGAGTAAATTGTACTCTAGTACTCAGAGTGCTCAGTAATTGGTACTCATAAGTACTTTCTTCCTATGGAATTATAAAAAAAAACATTTACAAGAATTAATCGAACGTGGTCTAATGGATAAGTCGTTAGCTATTAAAGCTAGGGATTGTGAGTTCAAATCTCGCTACCTACAACCTACAATGTTTTTTTTTTAATTTTTATAATTTTTTTTTTCAATATGTTTATTTGTCTTATTCAAGTACATTAGTTAGCACTAGGTCGCACGCATTAATCAAATTAGTTTAGAATTTCTTCGATTTTTTTTTTTTTCATTGCATGCATGCGCTTTTTTATGTAAAGTTTTGGTTCCTTTTTAGTACGAATTTTAAATTTATGTTATTAAAAAGTTAAAATTAGTTAATAGAGACATTCAATCATTTGACAAGGAACTTCACAAACTCATCAGGCAGAACGCTTTTGTAGATTTTTTTTTAAATATTCGAGTTGGATGGTTTTTCTGCAAATATTTTTAAATGTGTGGTTAACTATTACCTTTTCAAAAAAATTTTGAATTTTTTCTCATTGATTTGACGGAATTCTGAATCGGGTTAAAAAATTTATAAATTAATAAAATATAAATTACAACTATAAAAAAAGGGAAAATTTCTTTTTTTTTTTCCTAATTTTATGTAGGTATGTGCCGAAGACTCCACAAGAAATAAAAAAATAGCCAAAAATTATAAATTTTTGCAATGATGAAAAAAATCATATATTTCAGCTGTTTTATTTAAAAACTAAATTAATTTTTTGAGGACGCTAGCCCCTCCATCTCACGTTAGGCTACAGTGGGGGTGAAATTTTGATATAAGTAGATTAGTACTGTAAATGTGCCAAAAATGAGGTTTTATCCCCACTGTAAATATGAATATTATTGTAATAAAATTAAACAACGAAAAAAAAATGTATTTGCCGCGACTCGAACGCACAGTCCTTTGCTTCAATAGCCATTAGACTACATTCACTCGATGTTTGTATTTGCGAGACTGTGTATTTGCTATATATTAAAAATGGTTAAAGAATATTTACAGTCCGACATACGTGATTTTTGTATTTTCTACTTCTAGAAACATTTTTTATGAAACACTCTGCGTGAAAAATACAAATATATCAAAAAAGTTGCAACATTTTCTTTTTATATGGCAGCCTCCCCTATGATATATATTGATAGAATTGATAGAAAATCTCTACTTTAACAAATTTCTTAAATATGTCTTAATCGTAAAATTTTGAAATATTTCTTAGCTAAAATTTGTAACGTAGAGAACATATAACTTCCGTACGAAAAATATTTTATGATAAGTTTGAATTGTAAATGCAAGGCTCTATAGAAGCACATTAGCTTACTTTTCAACCAGAGCTCATACGGAACGACAAAAAAATAGTTTATATACTTACGTGTAGATATTGATGGGTGAATATTTCGCTTCCATCCTTATACCAAATGATGTGTGGTCGCGGATTACCCCTCGCAGTACACAGGAAGGCTATTTTATGGCCCAGGACGTATTCATAATCGAAATGCGAGGCCAAAGTAATTTTGGCTCCCTAAAAATTAAAAATTATACCGTTAATAATACAAAGAGTGTCGGGTATGTGATATACAGTGTGTTGCGTAATAAAAACGAAACTGGATGTGTAAGTACCGATAGAAGATTAACGTTTTTATTATTTAACTACTTCTTTTATTTTTTCGGCAAACTTTCTGACTCACACTATATAAATATTTTTTTATAAACGATTAGATTATTTTTCTAAAAGTGTTAAGTTGTGCAAGATTATTTTCAGAATTTATGTATTATTTTTATTATCCTAAGAAGCTGACTTAGGATAAAGGGTGTTTCACATAATTATAAACAAATAACAGATGCGTGTTAGGCACCCCTGAAATAAGGAGTTACGGAGGCCCAAAGTGGGGTCATGAATTTTGAAAAAATTTAATCTCTGTTACCGTTTAACATAGAAAATCTATATTTGACATTATTTAGGCCGTAATTTAGGCATGAGTAATACTTAATTGAAGAATTTTAAGGGTTACTTTGCAGGTAACCCACCTTTATAACCAAACATAACTTTTTTTATATATTGGCCGATTTTTTTAATTAAATAATTTCGTTTTATTCCAAATTCCATTTTTAAACATTTTTACTGTTTTTATTTAAAAAAAATCAATGTTTTTTAGAAAAACGAGACACATTAATTCAGTGCATTATGACAATTTTTTTATTAATAAATTAACCACAAATTATTTTATAATAACTGATAAATAAAAAACAAATTATATTTTTTTACAAAAAAACACAGGTACGAAAGAACCTACAATAATTATTATTACATATAAACATAAATAATAAGGAACTCTTAATTTTCCTAAGGAACTCCTAATCTAAAGTTTTGCAGTCAAAATAACAGTTTCTTTGAGAATGAAATATTGGTTCAGGGCCGTAGCCAGAGGGGGACATATGGGGGTAATGCCCTACCTTAAAAATAGCCAGTGACATTACGCCATCTCTTTTTATTTATCTGTGCACATTGTTGCTTTGTAATCTTTTACTTATGAATTGTGTAACTAATAACTAGGTATCATTATTAAATTATTTGACAGGACAATAAAAGGTCCTTTATATAACATTGTGATAGTAACATTACCATTGTGAGAATAACATTAACGTTGTGATATTAACATTAAAATTGTGAGATTAACATTGTAAATGTCATATTAACATTGTGACACTAACATTAACATATCAGCACCTCAGAGGTAAGGTGTGTTATTAAGTCACCAAATCTACATTTGTCAGGAGAGGCATTTTAAAGCTCACTTATTGTTTTAACAAAAAATGTAAAGAAATTGTGAATTTACTAATTTATTGAGGGTCTTTGCAAAAGTCAATTGTTTGGTCAACTTATTTCTATTTTTTGTTAGATTTTTTTACTTTGTCCTAAAATTTTGACTTTAATGTGATTTAAAACTAATAACTCCAAATTTACAATTTTTGGTTTGTGACTTACCGAGTGTTTCGTCATCTTTTGGCGAAATGATGCAACTAGGGAGTTAAATCTGTTTTCTACTAGATAGAATTTAGTACGGTAAATTCACAACTGGCTAAAACTATTTTCTCTGAAAAAATGTGACTTAACACACCTCTTTGGTGCTGATATAGATAACATTGTGAGATTTAAGACGTTTCCTTTTCAATTTGTGTTAAATCCACCTTACTCATACACGAGGATGTGAATAAATAATTTACTACCTGGGGGTCGATTCTCGACTTTTACGTGAAAATTTTATTTTCCCATGGGAATTCAGTTTTCGGCATAAGCGGTGGAATATTTTCCAATGAGAAGTATGGAAAAATATTCCCCTGCTTACGAGCATTGGAAATTGTGTTTTCCAATGGGAATTGTACTAGAGTTTGCGGATGAAAGTCGAAAATTTGACGAAAGACCACGCGAAAGACTAAGACATAACCAAAGATTATTGGATATCTTGGATTTTTGGTGAAATTGTAGTTAAAACATTTTTTTTTGTGTATTTATAAATTGATATTATTTTATTTATGTGGGTATATTATTTTTACCTCTCTTTCACTAAGAAACTGATTTTCTTAAATTAGTTAGAAATTGTGGGAGCTGCTAAGGGACTGGCAAATAGGTAACACAAATTGAGAAATTTGTAGTAAATTTAATAAGACCTTTTCGAAAATTTTATTATTTCCGTTAACGAAAGAATTTATTAATTTCTCGAAACTTTCGTTGCTCTTATTCTATACAAAAGCTACTTTTTCTTTTTTCAATATGTGAAAAGAAAAACGAAAAATAACTCGATAAGTTTTAATTATACATAATCGAATATTTTCACTTGTCCTCGGTCAAGCTAGCGATTGCTCGGCACGGCATCTGCTCCAGCGCAGAGGCTCGGCAGGTAATCGGTTACCCAAAAACCACAACAAATACAAATAATACCAACAGTAAATTTTAAAATATCTTTAATGTTATTGGTTATTTCGAAATATTCGTGAACTTAATATCAGACATACGTGAAACTATTATTTCCATGGGAATGTCTATTACGACAAGTTCGAGAATTGCATAACCTATTACCATGGGAATATAAGTAGTGGAATCTTTTCCCATGGGAAAATTTTCCAATGAACTCGAGAATCGAGCCCCTGACCTTATAGTGGAGTTGTGATTTTGATAGCGAATCAGTCCAAAAGAAGGTAAAAATAGTTCCATCGGCCGGAAAGGTTATGGCGTCGGTATTTTGAGATGCAAAAGACATTATTTTTATTGGTTATTTTGAAAAGGATAAAACAATAAATGGACAATATTATGCTGACTTGCTTCTTGATCAGCTGCAATAAAAAATATTGGAAAAAAAACTTGGATTATCGAAAAGACAAGTTTTGTTCCATCAGAACAATGCGCAATGTCAAAAGTCTATTATAGTAATGGCTATAATTGATTAACTGGGCTTTGTATTACTGCCCCATGCACCCTACTCACCAGACTTAGCCCCTTCCGATTTCATTTTCTTTCCAAACATAATAAAATTTCACGCAGACAAAAATATACGTCCGATTTGAAAGTCATTGTCAGCACAAACGTCTATCTTAGAGAGATGGATTAATAGGCCTATAAGAGCGGTATAAATGGTCACAAGAAAAAATAAAAAAACCGCAACTGCGCCTATCGGCGCCGGTAGAACCGGTGGCTGTCGGTGCTAGGACCGGCGCCTTTCTGCGTTAGGACCTGTGCCTGCTAGCGTTTGTAGGACCGGCGCACCGGGAAATCTCCCGGTTTCCTGATGGGTCCATCCGCCCCTGGAGATAGGTTGCGTTAAATTATCATATTTTGGGGTGCCTATCACGCACCTGTTCTTTGTCTGTACTTATGCCAAACACACTATAATTGACAGCATTTTTTTGTGATTAGGTTTTTGATATTTTACACACAAATTTGTTATTTAAACTTACATTATTGTTGTTATAGTACTGATCAGACTCAGGATCTCTGTATTTTCCGGTAATAGGCAATCCAATTTGAAACTAAAAAAAAAACACATATAAAATCAAATTTTGTATTGCAAATTTTAGTGAACATCAACAACAATAAACGACCTTAAACCAATAATAAGACCTACACACCTATAATATCTTTATAAAAAGTTGCGCATGGTCTAAAAGCCAAAGTACAACCATCAGATGTAAATTTTTTTCAGTCATATACGAAGTTTGTCGAAAAATATGAATTTTATGTAAGTGTATAGTACCTTTATTTTTAACAAATTATTATTAAGAAATTGAAAACTACGGTCAAATATCCAGTATTACGCATCTACCTACCAGTGGCGGCTGGTCACCAAAATATTGGGGTTCCCAATGACAGAATATAGATCTCTGTACATAAGGAGGTAAAAAAAACTTTTAATATTTTGGTCTCGAGTCGCAACTGCCATCTATCATAAAAAATGTTTTGTTATTTTTACTGGCTCTTTCTCTGTAGTAGCATTGATCATTTATGTCTACACATTGATTTTTAATCTAGAATACATTGAAAAACATCAAAACACTAGGTGAAATTTATAAAATAAATGAAATTGATATTTAGTCTAGTCAATTTTTTTACAGTGGCCGTTAAAACACTAGTTTTTCCCATCAAGTGGAAAACATCATTTGTTAAACCTAAATCGTATTAATAAAGTTGACAGTATAAAAGATCTTGGGGTTATATTTCAATCTAATCTGTCTTTTTCTCAGCATGTCGATTATGTTGCTGGCAAAGCCTTAAAACAGTTAGGATTCGTGAGAAGGCACTCAGCAGACTTTGTGAATTTGCATATAATTAAAATCTTATTTTATTCGCTCATAAGGTCACATTTGGAATATTGTTCTATTATTTGGTCACCATATGCGCAAATTCATATTGAAAAGCTTGAAAGAGTACAGCGTAGATTTTTAATGTATTGTTCTTTTAAATTGTCACTACCGTACTCTTATACAAATATGCTTGCCACAACAAATAATGAAACGTTAGCTTCCCGAAGAGAATTTATTGATTTTCTATTTATCTTTAAACTTGTAAATAACCTTGTTGATTCTCCTGAACTCTTGCAAAGTGTAGATTTTTATATCCCACCTAGGCCGTTGCGTGATAGCTCCACATTTGCTTTGAAAGCTCATAGAACTAACTATGGCCAGACTTCTGAGAAATGCTAATACATTTGCAGCAAACCAGAATATTGATATTTTTAACTCTTCCCTGTATCAAGTGAAAAGAGTGGCGAAGTAAAAAAATGTGTTAGGCATACATAGTATTTTAATATTTATGTATATTTTTTATACTATAAACTTATGTATTTTGTAAATGGTTTAAACCGTATGATAAATAAATTAAAATTAAAATAGTATATTATTTAACGAGCGGTAATGCAGGTCATAACTCACGCAGATGAAGTTTGCAGCACGAGCAGCACCGCAAGTTGAATACTATACTTTATCTACGACTATAGCAATAAATACTAAGATACAAGTATCGAGAAAGAATTATATAATTGACTACATGATAAAAACGTTTGAATCTTTGTAAAAGAAACGCACGTAATTTTGAATAATTCTCTATATTAATTCCATTATTTATGTTGAGTGTGCTTCTTAGCAAGGAGTAGAAAGTCCATAGAGACGATGCTTTATATTCATTGCTAAGTTCATTAAAATATGCCAAGGGTACATTTTCTGTAATCGAGATACACCAATCTTGAAAATTTTAGTATACATCTTTATACTTGTTTTTTGATTTTTCTGGTAAAAAATTCTGTATTGCATTATTAGCTGTCTCTCTTATTTCTGGAGGTGTACATAATAACTCATCTTTACTAGCTAAATTTATCTTTTTTTTACCACTATTATTAGAAATTGATTTGAAAACGTCAAAATTATCTCGTTAAAATATCAAATGCCATTACTCCTCTCAATGTTATAATTGACTGTTCCGCCTACTGAGAGGCGTTGACAATTTATTAATTTTAAAATATTTTAATTATTATTCATTCCTTTCCAGTTGTTAAAAAATCTTTCTAATATTTTACGTCAATGGAACATTTATCGACTTTAAAATTTCCAAGAATTTTCTGCGCACACTATTTACATACCGAATTATCGTAGGAGCCCAGCGTGAGTTATAATAACTCACTATTAAAACTCACGCTATTTGTTTATTGATACTATTAATTACTCAAAAACAGTTGAATAATTAATATATAAATTAATAGGAATAGATAAAATTTATAAAATACCAGAAATGAATATCTGACCGTAGTTTTGAATTATCAACTTTTCTTAATAATAATTTTTGATATTTTTAAAAATAAAGATATGTACATATTCATATTTTTCGAAAAACCTCGCATATATTTCTGAAGGTTGTATTTTAGGTTTTAGACCATGCATAACTTTTTATGAAGAATAACTTTTTTGCATAATAACAAGTTTTTCATATGGTGCTGACATAAATTATAAAAAATCTACTTTGTGCAAAAATCAATCTTTATCTGATGTATATCTTATTTTAACATATTATTCTGTATAATTAACAAAAAATGATCATGCTTTTTTTTCAAAGAAATTTGATAAAAATATCGCATTACATACTCGTATAAGAGAAAGGAAATGCTTGTGGGAATGATAATATAAATATTTGTAGGCACATAAATTCTTACATTGCATCGTCAAAAATATTTCAATTAGAAAAGTGTTTATTCAAATGATCACATATTGTATACCATCATAAACACCAATTTAAAGCAAAAATTTTTAATAAAAAAATGTTTAAATTCGATACTAAAATGATAATATTTAGAAATAATATTATCCAATATGGCGGCAATTTTGACAGCTGACGGAACATTTTCTATAAAAGATTTTTATCCAAAAATGTCCAATACATTCGAATTTTCAATAAACAATTGAGGTTTTCTTTTAAAAATAAAAAATAATTTTGCGATATAGTGTTATTTCCGGAAAAACGGGATGACGCCATGACGTCACAGAGTAATTCCACCGGAATCGGAACTTTTAAACAAAAAAAATCATTTCGATATCGCAATTAATAACGAATATCTTAAGAGGAAGTGAACCTTTTAAGTGGTCCACTTTGTAAACTCGCCTCTCTGTATCTCTGTAATGTGTGAACGGTGGGTTACCCCACGGCGCTTAGGCCTTATTAGGCCCATTGTGCATCCTCCTGAGTAGATAGGCACCTCCTAGCTCGTGAGCCAGCCTACAGATTTAATGTAGTTGACAACGTCGCCAAGACGTGCTTCTCTTATATCGGCCGGTGTTAGCCGATACTCGCCAAACACAGATCTTCTAATAAATGAGAGCGTCGAACAATCGTAAAGGATATGCTCGATGGTTTCATCTTCTTGTTCGCACCCTCTGCAGAGTTCGGATTCTGACAGCCCCATGATACGAAGATGCTTTCGTACTTGGCAATGACCAGTCAGAATGCCTGTGACTAGGCGCAGATTCTGTCTAGTCATAGTCAAGTATTTGTTTGCTGCAGTATTGTCAGGATAACTTAAAAGCTCTCTGGCAACTCTGCAGTTTCTTGTTTCATCCCATCTTTCCTTGAATTTCACAAGGGAATGTTCTTTGATTAGGTCTGTCACTACCGATTTTGTCAGGCCAATAGAAGGGCCAGGTCCAAAAAATATTTGGTTGGCTGCTTTCTTGGCTAGTGAATCAGCAAAAAGGTTACCTTTCGATGTGGCGTGACCTTTAATCCATCTTAAGGTGACCACGTTGTTGATGGATACTTCGGCCAAAGCTTCGTGACATTCTAGTACTAACCCTGAATAAATTCGTGGTCTATTCAGGATGAGTAGTGCTTGTCTGCTATCTGAATAGATGAGCATGTTCCTTCCAGTGATATTGTTTCTGGTTACTTCTTTTGCTGCTATGAGAATCCCGTTAGCTCTGTTTGAACTACACTGGCACTATTGCTCACAGCCCATTTTTTGTTTATGTTTAAGAATATAGAGTATATTTCACATCCTGAGCCTTGTTTTGTTTTAGAACCGTCGGTGTAGATATGAATAGTACCTGCCACTTCTGGCTCTTCTATTTTTTCTATTATAACTTTATATGGCTTATGAAAGATATATTTTGGTGATATGGAGTCCATGTTCGCTTGAAGCAGTGGGAGCGTATCCAGTGCCTCCTGCCAAAAGTGACGTCTCGCCTCACCAGATCCTTCATCAGGTTCTATTCCGACCGTGCGGAGGCATGTCATTGTTGTCAGAGCAACCTCCTTGATGTAAATATCAAGGGGAGTGAGACTAAGAATGACTTCCATGGCTCTAGTCGGTGTTGTTTTCATGGCTCCTGTTATGTTGAGACATGCTGTTCTTTGAATTTGTTCTAGTTTACGAATAGCTGTTAATTTTTGGGTTTTCGGTACTCGGACAACTGCACCGTATGTTAGCATAGGTCTTATGATAGCCGTGTAAGTCCATGCGACGACTCTGGGGGAGAAACCCCAGGTGCGCCCCACGGCAGCAATGTTCATAAGCAATATATGCTCTTTTAACTCTGTTTTATAAATGCGAGTTCCATGTTAACTTGCAGTCAAAGGTGAGACCTAGGTACTTCACCTCTGTTGAAAAGTTTAGTTTTGTGTTTAGGAGTTCTGGAGGTTTTAATTCCATTTTCAACCTTTTCCTTGTGAAAAGGATTATTTCTGTCTTCTTAGGATTGATGGACAGTGAATGGTCCTTGCACCACTGTTCTATAACTTTTAGAGCTACTTGCATTCTTTCGCAGAGTATGTTCTCAAAATTTCCTGTTTGCAGAATGTCCATTTCATCTGTATATGCTATTGTGTAGTGACTGTCATTATTGAGGCGGCTGATAAGGGTGTCGAGGACCATATTCCACAGTAGAGGTGATAGCACTCCTCCCTGTGGACATCCCCTCGCAACCAAGCTTCTTATATTCATATCTTCTACACTTATGTTTACTGCTCGCTTTGAGAGCATGTTATGTATCCACCCACTAACCATTTGTGGAATATTCCTATTGGTTAGTGAGTGTATTATCTTTGGGAAGGTGGTTTTATCAAAAGCACCTTCTATGTCTATAAAAACACCCAATGCGGACTCCTTATTGTCCAGGGATCATTCTATCCGGCCAGCAACTAGATGAAGGACTGAAAGTGTATCACATGGTTGAATTTAGGATTAAAAGTACTTTTTTAAAATAGAATAAAAAATACAGGTCGGTATTCAAAAAAATATACTTTATGGTGGCCCCCCAGAAACGAAACGTTGTATAAAAAAATCTGTCTACGGTAAATTAAGCGCTACCTAATATCAAATAAAAAATTTAATTACAATTTTTTTCTAATTTGTAAAATAAAGGCAATACAATCGAAAATAGTCATTTGGTTTTCCTAAAATATCTTGGAAATCGGTACTGATGTTCTCGGTTTTAAAACATCACTAAATTAGTCTTGCAATAGTACAACTTTTTTCCAATTTAACCGACTTTGTAACTCTTACGGTTTTCGACAGCAATACTGTTCAATATAAAAAAGTAGCCACCCTGTATAGTGACTTTTTTGTTATTAATGGCCTAATAATATTATTGGTATACAGGGTGGGCCAACGAAAACTTTACACCCCTATTTTCCGGCTTTAAAACGAAAATCGGGAAAAAAGCTCGAACCCGTCGATTTTTAATTCGAGGGGGAACAACTTGTTTGGGTTTTCATCCATGTAACTTCAACCCTCTAACAGGGAGAAGCACAATCCCCTGTTTTTGAATTGGGGTGAGGGGTGTTGCAATACTTCATTTTGAAGATCTCATCGAGTAGGTACTATCTGACCCCAAAATTTCGCGTCAACATTTTTATCGATAACAGCTAAAACAGTGAAAGAGACAATGTGAAAAAATGTCTACTTAATAACAAACAAACAGAATACTTACTTCTGTGATTAGTTTATTAAATGCTGGAAATGGTCACCATTCACTTCCATGCAGTAAAATAAGTTTTGCTTACCTTAAGGATAATTATTCTTATCAGACTGGTATTTGAGAGGTATTTATTTTTTATTTTATGGATACACCATTTACTCGATTTACCTCAGTTCATCGTTAATTTTTAAAAACGTTGTCATCGTGTATACTCGATTGATATTTTTTTAGTAGAATTAAAATGGTATATTCCGTGGGAGAAAGGGTGGAAATTATTCAATTGTTTATTAGAAATAACAAGCGACAGCGACTTTATTTAACGAACGTCTTCCTAAAAAAAATGTCTCAGCTGCTTACGTTTTGCAACTAGTTTCTAAATTTGATGCCAACAAGATGATCGTCAAATTTTGGATGAGAATTTTCCTCAAAGCTGGATTGGAAGAAGGGGGCATATTGAGTGGCCACCCAGGTCACCTGATCTGCATCCACTGGACTTTTTTCTAAGAGATTATCTAAAATCTAAGATTTACGCTATCCAGTCCGAATCACTGGATGATTTGCGAAATCATATAATAATTAATGAATGTCGTCAAATTACACCCGACATGTTGCGTAATGTACGGGAACGTTTTGAACAAAACTTATTTTACTGCATGGAAGTGAATGGTGGGCCATTTCCAGCATTTAATAAACGAATCACCTAAGTAAGTATTCTTTTTGTTTATTAAGTAAACATTTTTTCCATATCACTTTCACTTTTTTAGCTGTTATCGATAAAAATTTTGATAGTACTCGATGAGATCTTTAAAATGAGGTATTGCAACACTTCTCATCCCTATTCAAAAATAGGGGGTTGTGCTTACACCTGTTAGAGGGTTGAAGTTACATGGATGAAAAAACCAAACCAGTTGTTCTCCCTCGAATCAAAAATCGACGGGTTCGATCTTTTTCCCAGATTTTCGTTTTAAAGCCGGCAAATTGGAGTGTAAAGTTTTCGTTGGCCCACCCTGTATAATCTGTATTTTAGTAGACTAATTTGCCAATTTTTTAAGTTTTTTATTTTTTATTTCTTCAAAAATAATTTAATTTTGATGAAATTTGGTGAAATTATACCTTTGTATGTCTTAACTAAGCAAAAAAAAATTCAAAATATTTCGAGATATTAATTTTTTTCTATTCAAAACACTTTTTTCAAAGAAATTCTACGGTGAAAAATTATCGTACAAAGTTCTTCAGGTACAATAGCAACAATGATTTATTCCTAAATTATTTTTATAATTCGTTTTAATTTAAAAAAATACAAACTGATAGCACCATAGAATTGTATGGAAAAAATATATAAAAGAAACCGCCCTTATTTTTTGACCAAAATTCTTAATTTTCTTTATATAATATATATATATATATATATATATATATATATATATATATATATATATATATATATATATATATATATATATAATATAAGTAGAATGATTAAGATTCAAACAAATAGATTTTTTTAGTCGTGGGTTTTAAATTTTAAAGTCCTGTTAACAATTTTTTTTCTCTAAGTTTAATTTAAGTGGACTAATGGTAGCAGGTGTATTATTGATGGTTTTTATCTTAACAGCATTAGGATGGATGCAGTAGCGGGTCCAAGTAATTCACAACGAAATCGAAAAAAAATTTCAAGCGTTAAAAACCAGATGGTCTGTGGAGCATACAAAGGTTTAATAAATACACTTGGACCGCTGTTCATTTTTAACGAGAGTATCCGTGGCCACAATTGAACGCATTGGAAGAAAGTGACTGGGACTGTGCAAGCTCCAAAAGTAAATTGTCGTGGTCAAAAAAAAAAAAATTAAATTAGACGAGCACCAGAAAAATATGGTACGCACAACTATTTATTCTTTTTTTTTTTTAACAAATCGCCAACCATGGAACCCGTAAGGAAATTATTTGAGAATGAATTCGTTCCACAAATGAGCCGAGAGATATTAAGAAAAATAGTACACGAGTTAAAGTTTCGATATGCAAGACGATCTGGTAACTTTGTTTTAATAGAAAGAGAAGAGATCGTTTCATGGCGACCAAAATATCTTGGCTTTATTAAGGAACATCGTTCGGCAAACAAGACTATATATTATCTGGATGAAACATGGGTGAATTCTGATCACACAGTATCTAAGATCTGGCAAGATACTACTGCAACATGTTATCAGCAAGAATTTGTGAAAGGTCTGTTAACAGGATTACAATAATTGTCGCCCTTATAGGTAGTGAAAGTGATTTTTTTAACGACAGTGCTTCAGTTTTCTTATCTAAAATAAGGGGGGATTATCACGAAGACATGGACGCTCGACGCTTTGAAGGTTGGTTTCAAACCCTACTTTCACGGATCGAGCCAAATTCAGTGATAGTGCTTGATAACGCTTCTTATCACAGTCGATTAGTGGAACGTCTACCTACTAATGTCACTAAAAAAGCCGTAATGCAAAGGTTGGTTGCGAAAAAGGTGATTCCCTTTTCTGAGGACATGGTTAACTTTAAATTTATTTATTATTAGAAGGCCATACTTTCGCTATCAATATTTTAAATTACATTTTGTTCTGTATTTAAATTTAAATGCACTTTTTATTTTCTCTGTATACCACTAAATATTTTACAAATTTTATTCTTCATTATTGATTTATTATTGCAGAACTTTTTATAAATACTTTTTTTGTAAAATTCATAATAAAAAAAAATCCCATTTCTTGTCAACTTTTTCAGACATTTCATACAAAGTATAATAAACCATATTTAACGTAAATCAAAAAAATCGTGTCAAAGCTTATTAAAAATTAGCATTTTATCGCGAATCATTGTTACGCCGCTGCATAGGAGGATTATGGGTAATTCTAGAAATACATTATTGCCGGCCGACCATAATCCTTCGATGTCACCAATATTTAAAAATTGTAATAGTATAGCTCTTAGATTATTAAATAAACGTAAAAAAGTCATAAAAATGTTAATTAGTAAAGGAAAAATCAAGTAATTTGACAATTAACATTTTTGATTTTTCTTTCTTCAAATTCTACTGTCTCAAATGTCTCAAAAAATCATGAAATTCTTGTTTTCTGTCCTTCAATACTTTAAATAAAAATTAGTGCCTCTAAATCGAAATGCATAAATTTTAAATGACACTTAAATTGCCTTTTCCGCTTCTGAAATATGTAATCTTATGCTAAATTTGGTAGTTTTTGAAGAGGAAATAAATGGTCAAATTTTGTTAGGACCAACGTGGATTTTAATTATTTCTACAGCATTATTTTGCTATATCGAAATGAGTCTACCTGCCAAATTTGAAATTTTTATACGAAGCGGTTGTTGAGTTATGGCCAAATAAAAATCCAGGATACATTCATAAAACTTCCTGTATCTAAGTAATGAAATGTGATAGATATTCTTAACAATGCTCTAATTTAAAACTTTTACTACTTTTCCTACAGCATGCCAATATAAATATTTAATTTTTTTTTTAAATTACCTTTGACTTGGTCCTGCTCCTCGCCCTTCCTCTCCTCGTATCTGAAAACCCGAACATCCCGATCAGCACCAGAACCAAAATGGACGTTTGCAGATTCATTTTTCCTCAACAACCTTTTCAAGTTGTTAGGATCGAAGAAGTAACAGTTAATGTCTTAGGAAACTGCAACGGTCCCCTTCGGTTGGCACAGATTGGCGATAATTTAATTCAATCAAAGGAGATAGATACATACGGCCCAGTGATGATATTTAAATGAGGATATTTATGTATTTTTTTCAACAAGATCATTTTGGTAGCGACACCGCTTAGGAAAATTTTAGAGTCCCCTCAACGATTGCAGATAATTTCCATGATGGGTTGTGAAAGAGACGAAAAGTAGTATTAATAATAATGGTAATGATGATTTTATTGACTAAAAATATAGGTACAACTAGAATTAATAATTTTATACAGGGTCCTGTAGCAATAGCGCGGTATTTCATATTATGAATGGTCAAAACAGCCTCTTCTACATATTTTTAATATAATTTTATCAAAAAATAAATGGCGAGTGCCATAGCTCCAGACTATCCGGTCGCCTTATAACAACAAACAACTACTTCCAGAGCTATATGCTCAACAGGACGTTGGATTACAGTGTTATAAAACATAAAACCTCATGTATTGAAATTTTAATTTAGTATTTACAATTAAAAATACTTAAAAGTGAACGCCGGGAACGCCGTGTTTCTACTGGGGATGCGCACGATGTATCGATGTTTAAAAAACATCGATTTTTCGGTTTCGATTATTGATGTTAACATCGATGTTTTTTTATCCAATGTTATTAGTTAACATCGAGTTTTTTTTATCCGATGTTATTTTTAACATCGATGTTTTTAATAGACGTTTTCATTATGTCAGGAGCGCAAGCGCAGCCACCATGTTGAAATAGCGGTAATTCAAAAGTTTCGTACTGTTTTGATCGACAATGGCTGGAAAAGCAATATTATCTCTACAGAAAAATTATTCATTAGAAAAAATCGTAGATGGTGATTAACTCTTTTATAACTCTGTGGAAGCGCATAGTTGTGAGCAGTTGAAAAGGTGCTTGAAGTGTCTTGGATGTTTGCTACAAACGAAAAAAAAGGGAACTAATTAAGAGGTTAGGTGTATCAATACTGCTTAACTGTGTAAAAAATTAATGAAAACTAATAATTGTAACTTCATTCTAATTAATTATGCCAACTAACTATTAGTACTTGCAAAAACACTTTAACATGATAGTTAATCACTAGTATAATTAATAAAATAAATGATTTAATATTTTGAGGATCAATATGACATTTTTAATCATAATACTGTGTATACCGAAGTAGTATTTAATATTAAACTAATATTGTGTAATACCAGATAAGAATTTTCTTCTGTTGGACCATTTTCTCCATGAAAATGTAGTGAACAAATATAAGTATCTTTAGTAACATCATCAATACATCGAAAACCGTTGTCACTTCGACCACATTTTTTTTACACCTAATGCACATTTTGCGCTTTTTGAACATGTTTTAATATGGATTATTGGCCTGATAATTTGATATTTTTTTTACGATGTTGCAGCCAAGGCTTTGGAAAATTTATGAAATAATATGTATTGCCTTTGAATGATTTATACTGTGTGTCACTTTTACATGCTCCATAACAACACCGTTTCGTTTCCGTACAAATAACATAGTTATAATTGATTGTAAAAATGTATGTTTCAATTAAGAGACTAAACTTATTATTACTTTACTTTTTCTTGCTTTTTTTAAATGAATATACCTAAATTAATATTTATCGATTATAATTTTTTTCGCGTGGGCATTTTAACATGCTTGTTAACAAAAACAGTACGAGAAAGATGGCCGATATTGACACATGCGCACATAAAGAAATTGTGATGAAAAGGTCTATTAACATCGTGACATCGGACGGACAGACGGACATTTTTAAAAGTTGTTTAAAATTTGATGAGAAGAATTTTGGTACAAAAAAATTTAAATTTGGATTAATATTAAAAATTTTGTTTTCTTGAAAGTAAACCTATAATATAACTCTTTAAGAGTAAAATAATAGAAGTAAGTTAGTAGCAAGTAATGTTTTAAGTGGATACCTATAGAATAAATTTCTCTTGTGTTAAGCACATGCGTTTAGTGTATGTATTTAAGATATGGAATGTGTTATTTGCAAAAAAAAAAAAAAAAAAAAAAAAAAAAAAAGAGGAAGCCTAGACGACAGGAGCTTTGTACAATTATTTCAGCTGCAGAAAAAAAGGTTACACTCTTCTAGTAAAAATATTTTATTCAATATAAATTTGTATAAACAAGATATTTGATTATAAAAATAAATATTTCATTTTTAAAATACTCTTTAAATGTAAATGTTAACTTAAACTATATAAAAAGTATATTACAAAATTGTTCTAAGTTCATGTAAAAGTTTGCCAACTCTTATATAAACGAAGTGCATTTTACCGCCGGAAGCACCACTTGATAGTGTTCGAATTTGTTCTTGTAAAGGCATATTTGATAACGTTTTACTAGCTTATTTTTTTCTTGTATTAGAATATTGTTAAAGGATGAATCTAAGTTTATCCTTAGACCAATTTTTTATTTTTTTTTTCCTATGAATCACGAAATTAGGTCGTAAAATCCACATTTTTTTACATTTTTGGCACTCTGCCAAAACAACACCTGAAAGAAATTCAAAATTTTGTTCTAAGATAAACCTTTATAATTGTTTCTTCTAGATATCTCAAAAATATTTTTTAATGTATTAAAAATGAGTCTGTAATCTGTTATAAGCCGACTTTCGACATTTGTGTCAAAACTCGAGCATTAGATTCTAGTCTGGTTCACAAGTTCCATTTCCCTCGAAACCTGTCCTCCAGCACCGAAAATTATGATTTTGGGCTCATTCGATTCGGAATGGCATCTAGAACATTCTATCAAAATTCCAAGAAGGGCTGAAAAAAATGCAAAAGTTATAAACAATAAAGTAAAATAAAAAATAAGGGTTTGGTTTTTTTGAAATATTTCAAAAACTATTTGAGATAATCGAAATTTGAAAAAAGATCCTTAAAGAGCAGGACATTTCCTAAAAAAAGTCCTACCTCCCGGAACTGTACCAACAACCCTTATAATTTTAATTAAGCGGCGAAAATAACGGTAAAAACGCGTGGTTCGGCTGCCGCGCGCATCGCCCCAATCTGACACATGAACTAAAAAAATTATTTTAACTGATTAAATATTAATATTAAGGAATAAAAAATTTGGGTACTAAGTAGACATATGAATAAACAATAATCCGTAAACAAAAAATTTTTATCACTATTTTTTTATTAATTATGCCTTTGTTAATTAGTTAATTTTCACCATTTTAATGTTAACATAAAAACGCTGATTATTTCAAAACAAGAAATCTAGAATTTTTTTTGATTTTTTTGAGCTATTGTTAAAAGGGTTTAGAAGAGATCCCCGTTGGAAAAATTCAAAAATTTGATTTTTTCAAAACCCAAAAATAAAAAGCGATATCAACGTGAAATTTTTAGTAAAAAATCAAGGTTTATAAGGAGATGGGCTATCATTTTAAACGCCAGGCATTATATATCTTTATTCTTGTTTGTGTCTGTGTAATATTATGTATTGTGATGGGACTGATCTTATAAAATAAACATTTAAAACATTTTAGTTCTTATTTTATTTGCCAATAAAAGGTATTTAAAAAATATATTTTTTATTTGACATCTGTGACAAATTGTGAAAATGATTAAACTTACAATAAAAACTAAAAAATGGTAGTTAAAGTTTCATATAAAATTTTTTACACAAAAATCAATGTCAATGTCTACATAACCTGATTTATATTTAAAAATAATCTCAAATTTTGAAGAAAAGTCAGTCTACTAACTAATAATGTTTATAGATGGTTTACAACGTATTAAAAACCAAACAAATATCACACTAACTAAAATATTAATTTATTAATAGTTGTAGTGCTTGAAAACAGTATGATGTTAATAATAACTACACTTAATACAAATTCAAATAATAAAAAACAGCGATATTGACTCTTGTACAAAGTATGTGCTATATGCATTCGGCATATCGCACATACTTTGATTTTCTTTTACTATACGGAGAATGGTCGCACTGCGCAGCTTTCTGAGTGCCTTTTAAAAGGAGATAGAAAACTCCGCCATTTTGATCTCTTATTACGTGTTGCCTACATCTTGGCGCAATATTTTTAATAGGTGCGTTTTAATCATCCGCTTCTGCTTCGGAATTGTCAGTTTTCTTGTTTTAATCTGACAGGTTAAAACGACTAAACCGACAATTCCGGAAGCAGAAGTGGATGATTAAAACGCACCTGATATTTTCCTTGCTGCCGTCAGTGTCAGTAAATATTATTTTTGGAGTCACAGTTTATTACTAAAGAATCAGTTAGCTCACTCGGTCCAGTTGAAAGTTCCAAAATAACATCCACTCCAGGGATACAAATTCAGGATACGCAGAAGACTGCTGTTTTATTATAGGCGGTTGTCATATATTGTATTATCCGAGTTGCGCAGTGTATAAACTGGAACATTGAGATCAAAAGTGCCGACGCAGAGTGAGTGATTCTTTAGCTATAAACTGTGGCATAGGAATCAAAATGGCCGCGCCCTATGTTGGGCGTGTCGGACCTCTCTCTTGCACCGTATAGTAATCAAAGTATGTGGGTTGCCCTAAAGCACTGTAAATAAATTCCAGGCTTGGCTTTGTTCAGCGATTATGTTTATGTTCAGCTCTGTTTTTTTGTTTCTGTTGTGGCTGTTGTAAGCTTTTTTGGCGTCAGTTATCTTGCTAATATTTGTGATTTTTTGTGCTTTGATTTCAATTTAAATTATACTTGTTAATTATTTTCCGATGCACTATTTTATAATTGTTGCACAAACTAATGTTAAATCGTCCCTGAATCTTATTTACAAATTGTGCAAAACAAAATTGTGCATAGTGTCTATACTTTTTCAGTGACAGTTATCATTCTACCCCTCTCCACTTCATTGGTAATTTTTCGTTATCTACGCTCTCCTGTTATTTTAAAAAATGTATACCAAATTAAAGTTAAATG